AGCATACAGTCTATTTTGATCTTTTTATAATTATTATTTGTACCCTGGGTTCCTAGTGGAATACAAGGCTTCAGTAGCAGGTCTTCATTTCACTCTATTCTCTGCAGTTTTTTCAACCTCGATCAACCACTGCCTATAACCTTCAACTTCTTCCACACAACATATCCTCAATGTCACCTTCGGACGCCCAGCTCGTCGTTTCCCCTTCCGGTTCAACTCGAAGACCTGACCTGGTGTCACCAAATGGTCTTCTCAGTGCATGCCCAGTCCACCTCCACTTCCTTCTGCATATCTGTTGCGCGATGGGTTCTTGGTTGGTTCGTTGTCAGCCAGACAGCCACCCACAGTTATTAATATTATTATTAGTACCTTGGGTTCCTAATGGAACATAGGGCTTCAGTAGCACATCTCCATTCCACTCTCTTCTCTGAAATCTTTTCAACCTGGCTCCACAACAGCCCACAACCTCTCATTTCCTCCTCGCACGATCTCCTCCATGTCATCCTCGCCTCACACACCCAACTCATCGCTTCCTATAAGGATTCCACTCGAGGACCTGGCCTGGCGCATGATGTCCTCAGTCGGCCTTCTCAGTGTATCCCCAATCCAATCCATCTCCACTTCCTTCTGCATATTTGTTCGGCGATAGGTTCTTGCTTCGTTGGTTGGTTCGTTGCCAGCCACCCAGCCAGAGTTCCTTGTTGCTTATTCTTATTATTCTGGCCATCTGATCTTCAGTAACCAGCCAGTGTAGGCAGTTGTTGACGAATGTCTGTAATTTGTTGTAAATGCCTTTCAGTGCCTGACTCCAATTACCAAATCGTTGAATGCACAGAATTCTGCAAACAATTCTCCATTCTCGTTCATCACCTCACCGAGCGCTTCTCTACCCATGGTTAGTTCTCTTCCTGTGTTGTCCCCTCCCAGTTTGGCATTCATGTCACTCCGCCCATAAGAATTTTGATATCGCCAACTGACGTCTTGTCCAGTGTTGATTGTAGTTGTCTGTAGAATTCCTCCTTTTTTTCTTGCTCTGCATTATTTGTCGGTGCGTTGCATAGCATTCATTGTATAATTGTGACTTTCCTTCCTTTTGAGTTGAATCTTGCTGTCATGATCCTGGAGGAGATTGGCTCCCACTGCATGAGAGAGAGCCTTCGATGCTGTTGGGAACACCATGATAGCCACTCCAAGACTCAGTGTGCTCGTGGTTGTCGTCTGGGTGACCGGAGTAGATTAATGATTCTCCAATTGACAGTTTGGAGAGTCCACTCCCATTCCATCTGCTTTCGCAAATCCCAAGCACTTCAATGTGATACCTGTTCATCTCGTTTGCAATCTGGGCTGCCTTGCTGGGTTCAAACATCGTGCGCACATTCCATGTCCCCACGTTTACTTTCGCTTTCATCGGGGAGAGATGACACATGGGCCAATTGGCTTCCCGAAGGCTTTCACCAACTGGCGTCATTTCGCCTCTCCGATTCCAGCTAGGAATAATTTTGTTATTATTTTTTATATATCGTTTGTGCTTTGAAGTTTTTTTAGCGGTTAGATTTTTTTTATGGGATAGGGTTGCTAGCCCTATGCCCAACCTTCTCTCTTTACCCGGGCTTAGGACCTGCTAGTAACTAGTGAACTAGTTAACCAGGCTATGTTAGCCACCCAGAGTTCGTTGTTGCTTATTATTTCTGGCCTTCTGATCTGATCTTCAGTATCGAGTGAGCAAGCGTAGGCAACAGCTGTTGATGTAATGAATGTCTGTGGTTTGTTGGAAATGCTGTTTGTAACGCGCCAAGTCTCTCAACCATCACATAAAAGCACTGGCTTGACTGCCATTATTGTTGGAAATTCCCACCTTATTCATTATGCTGAGTAGAGTGCAGTGCAGTAGATCTTCACGCTGATTTCAGATGAATAAAGACCTGTCTTGCTTTTCCGATCCAAATCTTTTACGGTCTTTTCATCGGTCAAATAGCGTATGCCCATCTTCTCGTTTGTCACAGTTTTTGCATGATTCAGCCCAGTCCAGTCAACTACAATCAGGAAGATCATAGGTGATAGTTGGCCGCAACCTTATCTTCCTCCTGTCTTCACTTCAAAGGCATCACTGAGCTTTCCATTGTGAATAACTTGGCATGCAGCATCACCATCACTATATAGCTGTTGAATGAGGTTGATAGTGGTTTAGTGTTGAAGCAGCTGCCAAATTACTTCTCAGTCAACGGCTCTATCAAAGGCCTTTTCGACATGGATGTAGTTGAGTTAGAGATCCAGTTAACTGCCATTCTATGCTCGTCTCTATGAAGATGCACAACACTGATTTCTAGAACACAAATTTTCATATTTTATATCTCCTAAGGGAAATTTATCTTAATTACACAAAATGTAAATGAGAAGGTTTATCATTTCCATTTTGGCTTGCTTATCAGAAGTGTCAGACAGTGAAACAGTATTATTTACTGGATAACACTTCGGACATAATTTTTTGTCTAGATTCATATCACATCCTGCTATGAATATGTTGACAATTCTATTAAACCTACCAAAAGGGATTAAATCTACCACACAATTGACATTTTACTCTTGTATTAAGGTTTATCACTCCTCTCATTTTATTAAATATTTAGGCAAAAGAGTTTTTGGAAAACGACAAAAGTAATTAACGATGCAACCACACAGCTCAACACTAGAGAACATGAATCACACTTTATGAGGATTAATGACATGAACTGATATTTTGGTGGTCTGAACAATTTTCAGTCATGTACCAAAATGGTCGAATGTTTATCACCTAAATGTCAACTGAAGAATGGACCTATGGGTCATTTCACACAGTTAGCACCCACCACAAAGAAAGGAAATGGTAGACTTTATTCACAAGAAAAAAAAATATCTGTCTCAATGAATTCAAAATTTAATAAGACCAGAATCAAAGAACAATAGTTCCTGTTTTGTCTACCATAGTTGTTATATGAATTAATTAGTGGTTTCAACTTCTAAAAAGACAAGAAAATAAGCTACAAGTTGACTTTCCATGCAGTGATCACCAAAATTTACAACTTAGATTACAGTTTATAACCGCCTACTCGGCAACACTGTGCACGTTTGTGCAATAGGCAACGAACCACACCTACCATGTGAAGACTAATGATACCAGTTGGTTACGAAATCTCTGTAGGTTAAGCTATGCTTGAATCTGTCACCAACTGGTGAAAATTCAACAGCCCTAACCGATGAGAAAGCCTCAGAATTAGCTAGAAAGACTTTCATGAACAAAACGACAATAGGTAATATCTAAAGGGATAGTTTACCTAGCAAGCAAAGCTGTGATGTTATTTGTTGAGCATTATAATTAGGAAACTGACTTACAGATTATGCTTCAAACAATAAATCACCTCCCATTTCATAAGAAATATATCGTATCCATATTCAGTAAAACCAAATGGTCAGTGATCGAATTGAAAAACATTGAAACAGCTTGTGGAGACATAACTGCAAACATTTAAAACTTCATTCGTTTAGCTAGCTTGGATATATCCTGACCAACAATGGACTGGATGGTCTGGAAAAGTTCGGACACCAAGTAAGTATGATTCATCGTGTAAGGTGTATTTCTATTTGTGTAATCCCAGTGTATTATATTTGAACAAATAACAAAATTAGCAAATATTTCGTATTATCATAATTAGTATATTTTCGATTATTTTTGGAGGTTTTTGAGGGTTTTATTGATTTCAGTTTGGTATTAGTCACAGATTGATATCAGTTACAGAACCACTGAAAACTCGTGAGTACCTGACAACTGTTTCGTCCTACCATAGGACTCTTCGGCAGTGCGCGCCAGTGACCCGGCCAGGATTCGGACCCAGGACCTAATGAACTGAGCAAAGAAGAAGAGTGTGAACCATTGAGTTCCAACTCAGTGGCTCAGTGGTAATGTAGTGGTCATGGAACCAGAAGGTCCCGGGTTCGAGCCATTGTGTGATCATCTGTGCACACTGCTGAGAAGTACTATACTGGGGCGGAACAGCTGTTCAGTGCTCCATGTTTTTCAGTGGAAATGGTTGCGGCACTCATCCCTGTCTCTTCATCCACTTATCAGTGATGACAACCCTTTCCTCGACTACAGGAGAAGGAACGTAGAGATACAATTTATTTTGCCGTTCATCATAACCATGTGTGCTTCGATAGTTATTGGTAATTAGGTAAGGTGCGATATAGTGAAAGTAGCACTGCGAGTTTTATATGAAGGATACTCATAAAAGGCATCAACAAATATATATGAGTTGGAATCAAGTGAATCGTTAAACGGATTAATATTCATTTGTTTGAAAAGAAACGTACTATAGATTTCAAATATCCCAATGAATGCATGAGCAATCAAGGGCATTATGTTAGCTTCAATTGTTATTTGAGTAATGTTGTTTAAAAGTATGATCATAAAAATTTAATCATTTCTTAGGAACAGTTAGGAATACAGGATTATCACCTTCAAGTAACGCTGTAGTTACAGTAGCAGTGCTCATAAAATAAGCCAGCAAAATAACCAATATAAAATGTGATAAATTTACACCACACTCCTAATGCATAGTTTCTAATTTCCTTCTAAAAATGTTTTCCAGCTGAGGAGATTCCTAGACTTCTTCAATAACGTGTTTAACAAAACAGTGGTAGTAGTTCTCCTCACCTCTGAACTATCTTCTAGTTTTTTCTTAAAATCTTACACATTAAATGAAATCGCTTCATGTTAGTTGAATGGAGCCGATCAGCAGGAGTTCATGGACCTGAGTTTCATGCTTTTGGCACTCTTCTTGGACTTTCTACCTATCGACACCATCCAAATAATACTACTCAAAGTGTATTGAGGTAATGAGTCAACTAGCTTAGGAGGTACATAACAAAATGATCAGCAGAATTTGATCAGTACTTAGGACTAGACAAAATGAAGTTGGTTGCCCTGCAGTGGTCAATTAGTTTTAAAAACTGATTCAGTTCTACATTTCTGTTCATGTTCAGGAAAATTAACTTAACTTCAACTGAACAACGTGAAGAATTATCAACCAGCAGTCACAAAACTACAGTATTGTTTTTATCTGAAACACTGCTCGGTAAAGAATTTGTGAATACACTAGCCGTTCCAATATGATAATGTCACTGGATAATATACAAGGTGACAATAAGTTTTCCTTATTCGACTAACTGAAATTAAATTTCAAACTTCAATTTAGTTGACATGAAAAAATTATCCATATAAAGTAACCAAATCTTATATCGACCAAAAAATACTGCCAATTTATCGTGTTATAAGAACATGAAAAAGAAATGATAACTACATAAAGACCTCATACTTTAAATATGAGTATGATATAATATAAAAGGCAATAGAACCCAGAGTTTAAAGTTGGATGAATAGCTCACAAGCTTATGTCATTAAAAAGTTCCGAGTTATTTCAGTCAAACAAATTTCAGAAGATAAGTAGGTTGAGTATTGACTAAAGTCAGAAATTGATTTTCAAAAACGTTTCAATAGGAATTGTTAATGACATATGTTTCGTGTTAAGAGAATACAAAAGTAAACATTTCAAAATTTTAAAAACTGAATATTCATCTTATAAAAATTTTCAAATCATATGATGATAAATAAAGCACAAAGTCATATTATAATAATAATTATTTAAAAAAGAAGTTAAAAAATAATTACGGTTGTATATGTTCACTTAATATGTTTCTTTATGAATATCTTCAAGTATTGCACTGTATTTGTTTAAAGTAGAGTCAGGAACACTTGGCCATCGACTGAGATTTACACTCTCTAGATCATCTAATATTTTTACTATTTGTTCATCTGTATCTTCTTCATCAGATATACATAAGGAAGGTAGAAGGTCATCTAAACATTCTTCTGATATGTCCATATTCAATTCTGCCTCATCAAATTGTTGAATTTGTTGAGGGATTTTGCTTTTTTTCATTGCCTAGCATTAAAAGCAAACAAATAAATTTGCTTAATTGAATAAACATGTTATGAGTAATAACATTAGTAGTTACATCATTTTCTAAACATAAAAGTAATAATAGTAATAATAACACTTTGGATTGCATCCAGACTAACAGATTGTGTTATTTAATATGGCAATCAGCTCTCTACCTCAACTTCATCGACTTTGAGAAGGCCTTCGATCGAGGCGTCGACCGAGAAGTAATTTGGAAACTGCTTCAATACTACGGAGTACCGCAAACCTTTATCCACATCATTCAACAACTATATGAAGATGCCACATGCCAAGTTATTCACAGTGGGAAGCTCAGTGATGCTTTTGAAGTGAAGACAGGAGTGAAACAAGGTTGCCTACTATACCCCATGATATTCCTGATTGTGGTGGACTGGATCATGCAGCAAACAGTGGGGGGCGAGAAGAGGGGCATACCTTGGCTGGACCGCGGAAAAGAACCTAGAAGATTTGGATTTCGCCAACGATGACTTGTGCCTGATGTCGCACAAACTTGAATATCTGCATGCGAAAACTAACAAGTTGTCGGAAGAGGCAGGGCAGTGAAGATGAGACTTCGAGTGAATAAAGAGAAGACAGAAGTGATGAAGATACCGCACCACCACCATCAACAACAACAACAACAAACTCCAATCACCGTCAACGGGAGAAACTTGAAGGAAGTAACCTCCTTCACTTATCTAGGAAGCACTGTTTCAACTACAGGCGGGACGGACGAGGACGTCAAAGTCAGAATCGGAAAAGCAAGACAGGCGTTCATTAGCCTGAAACCAGTGTGGAGATCTTCTGCACTCAGCATGCGGAACAAGATACGGATTTTCAACACCAACGTCAAGTCAGTGCTCTTGTATGGCTCAGAGACTTGGCGCGTCACGAAAGGTATTTCCAATAAACTACAGACATTCATCAACAACTGCTTACGCTCGCTGCTGAAGATCAGATGGTCAGAAAAAATAAGCAACAAGGAACTCTGGGAACGAAGCAACCAAGAACCTATCAGTCAACAAATATGCAGGAAGAAGTGGAGATGGATTGGCCATGCACTGAGAAGGCCGACGGAGGACATCACGCGTCAGGCCCTCGAATGGAATCCCCATGGGAAGCGACGAGTTGGACGTCCAAGGGTGACATGGAGGAGGTCGTGCGAGGAGGAAATGAGAGCTTCTGGGCTGTCGTGGGACCAGGTTCAAAAGATCTCAGAGAACAGAGGTCACTGGAGGCGTGCTACTGAAGCCCTATGTTCCACTAGGAACCCAAGGTACTAATAATAATAATAATAATCGATGTCAACTGAGTTGTTAACACACCAGACCAGAAACGAAAGGCGAAACTGTAACTAGTCAGCAGTCATAAACAGCTAACCAGGATGAATGTCAGAAATAAAGTGTGTTTTATAGCTTGTATTTATTGGTTTAATGAAAACATCAATTATTTACCAAGCGTTTATCCTGTAATCACAACTACTTTCGCCTTTTGTATTATCTAGAAGCTTATCAACCGACTTAGTACATATGTGTATGACCCTTATCTACAGATCAAAGCTTTAAAATTCACTTCTGCGGGAGTTACAAATTAGCTTCGAATATTTGAATAGAAAAGACTTTATGAAATTATTTAAAAATATGTTACTGTAATTGGAAACACTGTTAGTCAGCGGTTCCCTTCCGTTGTATTTTCTCCTCAGGGACAATAAGACTGAATGCACAAAACTTGGTAACCTTGTGTGAAAGGCCTATAATCTTATTACGTCAGGCTTTTCAGATGAAGGACTGTAATCTGTAGAATTTATATTCTCAGAATGAAAAAGAAGGATTGATGCCAAATTACATTGTCAACTTGTAACTGATCAAGACATCTATTGACTGAAGAGATTTCTATATGTATGCAGGTTACAGAGATTAAAGATCCCCCTTCCTAATGTTTACTACAGAAAGCTGCATTGCCTAAGTCTGGAAAGAGATTACAAAATGTAGATAATTTTGCAACGCAAAAAGACGAGATATCCAGGCATTAAAACAGTAATACAAAGATGCCAAACATTTTAATGAGGGATAATGATTACCTTATTAAAGCTTTTCATGTTTTTTGTAGCTGATTCAACCGATTCGCCATATCTCACTGCAATAAGAGAAGTTGTTTGTTTTGATTGTATACAATCCATATGGCTCCCAAATCCTAACAATTTAAGTTTCATAGCACGGATTTTTGATAACTGCAATGCTAATGGTCCGCAGGCAGATTTCATTCCCATTTCGGCCATTCTTTTAATGTTATTTTCCAGCTGTTTTTCTTCCTTTTCCAGTTCACTTATGTTCCTTTCTAGAGATCTTTGTATAAACTGATTTTCTTTTTTCCCTTGTTTGTGAAATTTCTCTATTTCCCCTATCTTTGCAGAATTCATTGCGGCACGTAGGAATACTAAATTATAATCCCAAATTAGACAATATACACGAAAATAAAATAACACTAATGTTATACATATCAGCTGAATACTGTAATCATTAGAGTGACATATTGAGGTCTTAAACATCACATTAAGCATGTCAGGAATCCACAGTATATAAGAGAAATCCTAAACGATAAACACATCTTCAACGGGAAAAAGCAAAGCTATCATCATTTTGCCAGTCTAACAAAATCGAAAATGAATGCAGATAAAAGGTCTCTCACATTTAGGGTATTTCCGTATGCATTTACGGCTGAAGTAATGAGTATCTTGCTTACAAATGGTTACTGAATAGGGAGCAAAACGTTTATAGTACAGTAGATTGTAATCACATGGATAGCTGAAGTCGAACTTTTTACAGGATTAATTATCCTAATAGTGTCTATCAATCTTGATTTAGATTAGTTTTTGTGCTTGAACAGGTCAACTGGCCCTGGTTTACCACTATGACTTATGTATTTAACCTAGCACCCATTGTAGGGTATTCGGTAGACTAAATTATTTAGCCTAAATGAATGAATTGGAGAGAATTCTCAATAAGGCTAGAACTAGAATGGTTCGTCAGTCTAAAACCTCACTTAGAAGAGAGCTGTGTAAGTTGAGAGATTCTACTGACGTAACATAAAGTGGGTAACAGTCACTGTTTAATATTGGTTTCAAAATGCACAAAGGAATCTTAGTGAGTTTTTTAGCTTAGGGCAAGTAACTCAGTGTACTTCTTCCCTTAAACAAGCATTTCTAAAAGAGTAGAACATTCGTCATATGGAAGGCTAAGCATACTATATTCAACTGAATTGCAACGCCCATTCAATTTTTGTACAGTTCAACTACACTTTTATCCTTCATGCATGATGACTAAAGATTCACTTCAATCATTTTCAGCGATAATAGTGGTGTAAAATATTTTTAGAAATGTCAAACTCAATTTGTACATTGCACAAATATAGCAATAAAAGTGGAAGATTCCAATGGAAAGTTATTTATAAATGGGAACAAGTAGTTCAGCATCATTTTAGTCACTCTGCTTCACTGAATTACCAGCAAATAACATTTGCATACATCAAATTGACCAAAAGTCTAATGGACATGACTTATGACTTACAGCATGGACTAGACGACAGTGAAAATATGGTTAGTTTTGAGATAACTAGCCTTTATACAAATATACCGATTGACATGGCTCTAGAGGGAGTTAGAAATGGGCTTAAAAGTAACAAAGAACTTAAGCATCGAACTAAGGTGCCGACTGAGGAAATCATACTAGGAGTAAGATTGTGCCTAACATCTACAGCTTTTAGGTTTCAAAATAAAATATATAAGCAAACTGAAGGTGTTGCCACGGGATAACCAATATCCCCTATCGTCGCAAACATATCGATGGATAGTTGAGAACAGGTGGCCCTTCAAACAATTAGTCCTAATCCAAAGATGTGGTTAAGATATGTAGATGATATTTTTACAGTACTTAATTCGGAACACATCAATAGGTTCTTGGCACATATAAATTCAGCAGTAAATGCAATCCAATTCACCTGTGACTTAGAAAGTGAAGAAGGTGAGCTAGCAATGTTGGATTGCAAGACTAAACGAATACAAGAAAGAAATCTAGAGACTAGTGTCTAGAGGAAACCTACCCATTCGAATCGCTACTTAGACTTCGAGTCCTTCCACCCCATCTAAGTTAAAGTAGGCATAGTTAAATGCTTAAGTGATAGAGAAAAAAAGCTTACCAGTAAATCGGAAAATCTGAGACAAAAAATGAGATACATCAAGAATACCCTACGTCTCAATAATTACCCACCAAAATTTATAAAGAAATTCATAAGAAGTCGAAAGAAAAATATTAGCAGTGGTAGTAGTAGTAGTTGTAGTAATACAGGTGTTATTAATAATAATCTCATTACTAATGGTAATAATGGCGACAAGGTTAAGAGAGAATTCAAAGCCTCTTCTGTGTTACCATACGAGGAAAGCACCTCAGAAGCACTGCAAAGAATTCTCAATAAGGCTGGGATTAAAGTGGCATTGAAACCAACAAACTCACATAGAAACAAGCTTTCTAGGTTAAAAGATCCTATCAATGCGATCAAGCAAAATAATCTGGTTTTACCAGATCCCTTGCAGTGAATGCGAGGTCAAGTACATAGGTCAAAGCAGTCTACCAGGGCCGATTAGAATAACAGAGCACAAAAACTTGGCTAAATCAAGATCGGTAGATCCTAATAAGATGAGAATCTAGAGGAAAACTCGGTTATAGCTCTGCATGCGATGGCACACAATCACACAGTAGGGTGGGATAGGGTGACAGTGTTGAAAACTAACTTAGTTGGGTGGAAGGAGAGGAGAGATTGATAACCGACTGAATCTTGGTTTATCGAATCAACACCAAACACATGCAGTCGAAATGATGCTGAACCTGTCCCAGATATATGGAAAATTCTACTACCCTTGTCATCACAGAGAAGAAGAGAAAACTAGGAATATATGAAGACTGTCTCGAAGTTGTGGAGTTACCTGATATGAATATGGACAATAAATTATGTCCGAAACGTTATCCAGTAAATGCTACTGTTTCACTGTGTGATATTTCTAATAAACAGACAAAAATGGAATATAACAGATATGCCTGGCAATACTAACACTCCATTTTTAAGTGCATTTGAAAGTATCAAGCTAAATAACTTGCCAACAACACATTGTTAAACTTGATTGATCAATTGATATTATACTTGATATCTTAAAAATATGAATACCTCACTACTGTGAGGAAAATAGCTCAAAAAACAAGTGAGGAAAACATAAGTTAAATTTTTAGCAATCAAATTTCAGAGGATATGAATCCAACATTAATGTGAGTGTATTGACTTAAGTACCTAGCACTTTGATACAATTTTATGTACCAGACTATCAACAACACTAAATTTCTGAAGACTTACGAAATTATTTGGTTCCCTACACCAATGTTAGTGATTTTACTATAGGTGGTTTTCAAACATATTGACCAAGCTCCCTAAACACTAACTTTAAATTTTCACTACTGTATCTAACTAACCTGAACTGTTGTGTAAAGCCTGGATCGAAAGAGGTGTAACAAATGTCTTTCAGGTATTATGTTTCTCCTGCCTGTTTTACCGATAAATGCTTCCACTAACTTTACACTACAAATTGACGTGTACCGATCCTGAATTATAAGTATGTTGTCAAAATATGGAAAAAAAACATTATTAATCCCATGGTTTTTATTTACTAAACTTCTGATTATTTTGCATTTTTATGTGAATCTACTGTAGGTAAAGAGAGGTCTTGTTTAATTATTCAGAGTTAAATAGTTGCTAATTCAGTCTCAAAGCGAAAATTTTACGTTAGTATCGCACCGACTATTCCAAATATGGCTTTGAAAATATGAGGTTTGGTCATTTCACACAGTAGCCTTTATATATGTGACAACCAAATTTCACCTCTGTTAGAACTCTGAGGATTTTGATTCAGATTAGTTTTATCTGCTTGACTTGAAAGGAAAATATCGTTTTGCGAAAGCTGTTTTCATATCAACAGTTTCTGGTGTCAGCCATCTGTACATTGTCTTATTGAGCTGTCCGCGAATAACGACAAAGAGAAAATTTTGGTTCCTCTTCATGGTTTGCTTAGTTCAATTTCACTTTCACGCAGTCGTGATGCAAAAATCCGCAAAAATTGATAATTCGTTGGGAAAAATAGAATTATTCTAAACTTCCTCAGTGTTTCTATAAATGGTCTTGAATTTGTTGCGAAAGTCTTAGGCTTTCCCCGCCCCCCCCCTCCCCCCCCCCAACTGGCCGACGGTAGAGTGGCTAATTTTGCCTAGAATGAAGTTAGTCAGTCAATGTTAACCTGGGTCCTAGCATTACCACACACCGATCTGTGCTGCCATACCACGCACATCAAGCAAGAATGCAGTAAGATGAAAGTTGAAGGAATAAAGAAAGACATAGCTAGAAGTGGGAAAATTCGTTAAAAGAGGGCAAGAAGGAGTGAGAAATCACTGAAATTCAGCATCACACTTTAGATCAAGACCGTGTGTGGATACACTTACGTCATCGAGATTGATTCTGATCCATATCACCTACAGTCTTCAACCACTGGTTTCTCTGGTCACCTGTATCCAAAGCTTGAATTCTAGATTTCCTACATGGTCTAGATCAGTTGTCAAAGACCTCGTGGACTGGTGTCATTTTTCCATCTTGTCATCTATTCACTTTCCTCCATCCTGAACCTACTACAGTTAACCTTGTGCAACTGCATGGACTGTGAACAGATGTGCGTAACATAAATCCCAGCCACCTGAGTCAGCTAACTATATTATTCAGCCCAGAATTCTACCTGAAATACTGATCTCTGACGTCTATGAAAAGCTGATCTGTCTCATCAATATTATCAAGATCTTTATGTATTTGATCAAATCCGCTGAAATCATTGTATTTAAGATACGTAAGATGGTAGAACACCGTAACATGCCATGAGCACCTAAATCACATCACCATAATCACAAAATAGTTAGCACTGATGACAACACGCAATATCTGTTTATTCAATATATACTTATCCAACAGTCAACTGTCTGGAAGGCAGTGTTCATTTCTAATGTGATTAGCAGATCACTTTGGTCGAAAGAGTCAATTTTACATTTAAAGTTAGTGATGCAGATTTTTTGTTCCTTTGATGCAGACGAACATATGTGGTTATTAGGATTTCTATTTTTAACAAACCATGCAAAACACCGATACCTTTTACACTTTAAGTGACAGCATTAGGTAGTATTTTTCAAAAGCTTACAAATTACGTTTTACTCTACATTACTCTCTTCATCACTTCTCCAGAGCTGACTACACTGCATAGAGTTTTTAATTTAATAGTGTAGGTTGCTTTAAATTACGGACGTGTAAAGTCAGATATATCACCACTTCGTTATGTTTAACTACGGTCTCTTAGACTAATTGAGGCATTACTCCTACCTGAAAAATTAGCCTTTTCGACATTCTGGTTACGTACTGATAGTGGTTTAGAACTTATTCTCCGCTCAGACTGAGACTGAAATAAGATTATCAACAAAAGTATGAATTAAATGCACCGAAATGGACACTAATTATGAGCTGAAATTAGCTGCTGCTACATACCCTCATTTCAATGACTGATTACTTCAGCATTTGTGAGCAGCGATATTCCACAAATATAGTCAGTGTCCAATTAATCACACCCATTCTTCAAGTTATTTTAGTACAAAGAAACACAATGGGATAGGTTTTGAAGCATTGCCTAATCAGAAGCGGAGTTTTCATGAAACATTAAAAAATAACTGGAATACAATAGCATTAGGACGTTAGAAACATCAAGTCATCTAATTCTTTTCAAATCATAATACATGGTGCCTGAGCGCAACATAGTCCATTCGAGTTCGCAGTTTCGATCACACCACCAATATTTAGCTTGCTAGTTGTCCATCTCACATAAAAGATGCTCTCCAAGTATAGGTATTCATCAGAGCTCGTTTTCAACGAGAAAGCACCTTTATCAATGCCTCAAGCATATTTTCTGTCTAGCTTAGTCTAACTGCGTACCTTAACTTGTAGACACGAATCAAACGAGGCATTTAATTCCCAAGCTCCTATTTCATACTTTACAAATCTTGTAACAGACAAAAATCAACGTAGAACCTCACACGTAGGTGCATTGTCCCAAGCTGCTACAAGTCACAGTAGTATGCAAAAACCAGGTGGATAGAAAAAGACTGATATCGAAGTAGACAAAGTCGTGTGATGGGATAAGCAATTTAGAGGTAATGTTTATTGCAAATACTCAAGCTTTAGAAGATGATAGGTAGTAAATACATCTGCGCCACTGTTACCGATTTCCAACCATGTCATCGAGAGTCCTCAACCACTGATTCCTATCGTCTCGCGGACTCCAACCAGGCATTCTACATATCCCCACACAACTCAGACCAACAGTACGAGACTTCAGTGACTGATACCATGTCTTGGTCTGGCCACTTTAATTTATTAAAACTTCTTCCAGCATGCAAGTCTAGGTAAGTGGTTGCTTCGCATGTGTAGTATATGTTCAATCCATCTCAGTTGACTAAATGGTAATGTAAAACCATAGATCAATTTAGTGCGGTTTCCTGAACTGAACATCTTAGCATTATGCCCATTAATGTGAAAACATTGTAGCTTTTTAGTGGTTAAAAGCCATCTGTCTCTATCAATTTAAGTTTGAGATCAGAACATTTGAAGTCTGTGAGACGAATAAGACACAGTAGCTAGAAAAATTCCATGCAATTACTTTTTCCACACTTAACAGACGACCCTACCATTCAGTGTCTGCTTTACTATCTAGTGAGCAGCTTCTTTTTTCACGCTTACTTCTACATCTTGCCTAGCTAGTTTAGGTCTTCGGTTAACAACAATGCAGTATAGCCTACCGCTTGCCTACTGTAACTCTAGTTAACCTGGTGAGCAGTAGCGTGTCAGGTAAGTTGGTAGGGTGATGTGCGATTTGTCATATGAATACGCTGCTAACAGAATCACGTCGCATGACAGCCGTTTCCACCATCTGGATTAAGATAAGATTTAAGAGATAAACAAAGAAAGTAAGCAGGAGAGGTAAAGATAAAATGTAAAGCAATTCAATTTAAGATGTAAATTGTCTGAACTGTGTAATGTATTAGCGTAACACATTTCAAACTATCTGATCCCACACATACTTGTCACAGGTATTTACATGGAAATTCATGAAGACAAGGGGTGAGAAAATGAAAAGAAAGTGAAATTCACATATGAGAGCGTACATTTCTGCTAAGTTGATAGCGCTGTATTATAAATATTAGTTAGTCGGAAGTAGGGTGGATCCATAAAATGATCTGTTTATAGAAAACCTACATGGACAGGGCAATATTTTAACTATCATAGCTTTTCTCCGACTCAATACAAGCAAGCGTTAGTGACGCGCTTATTCAGTAGATTCAACGAATATACACGGAGGATACTTTGGAACACGAAAGAGGGACAATGACTGAAATACTGTCGGAAAATAACTATACGTCAAAACTTAATAGGCAGCACAAAATAACTGGAGCGCCGAAAGCAGATCTCCAGTTCGTCCCGAAAAAGGATGTCTTTATCAGTCTTCCGCACAAAGGTGACTCTCATAGTGCAATCCTTAAAAGCAGAGACTTAACGCTGCTGTTAAAAGGAATTATTATGTAGCTGGGGTTCGATTAACAGAAGCCTCCAAGCCTGTATGTCCCTCCCAAACCCCTACAGCATGTGAAAGACAGTGTAACACCCCACTGCATCAACCGACTCAAATGTGCATCTAGTGACACATACATATGGAGGACTCATTGACCTATGCAAGCAAGGGCCTTGAAACGTATTCTCAGGTGGCTTGAGAAGCAAATTAAGTCGCCTGAAACATAAAAAATGGTAGCAGACGTCCACGTTCTTCGATCGCCAAATATATTGTTGAAACAGGTCACAAGATTGATGTGGCTGCTTCCTTGAGACCTATTTACGAAACCTGCTGGGGACGGATCCTAAAATTTGTTGAGGTCTTAGCAAAAAGAAATTTAAACCACCTGTATGTTCAAAAACAATTTTTTGCCACATTAAATCTCCCTTAGTAAATCCAACTCCAAAACTATTATTTTCGCTCTATTGGTTTTCATTGTTATTCGACCTTTAATTCAGACTACCTACTTGACCTCTTTTCATCTTCTCACCCCTTATCGTCATGGACTTTCATTTAAATATCTATGACAAATACTTGTATGATCAGATATTTCGAAGTATGCTGTGCAAATACATTACACGGTTCATACAATTTACGTCTTCTCATTGTTTTGTCGAAGTTATTGAAAGGAAATAATTGTTTTAAATTTGATTTAAAACAGAAAACAGTAATAAGAAGGACTTGTAATAAAGACTATGAAACAGAAGAGAATGAAAGAAAGGATCCGAACAGGGAAAACTACCGCATGGATAATAAAAATAAGGGTAGTAGTAGTAATCATAATAATGATGGGGAAAAGAACTGAGGAGGACATGAGACGAATACTGGTAGGGGGACAGTTCGATATTATTAAGTGTACAAAAAGGATTCGAATCAGTGATAATAGCAGCACCAAGAAGCATTGGAATAAAAGTAAAAGCAAATGAAGTTGTTTTAGGGTGTCATTCGATCCCCCCCCCCCAGCCTATTCCATATCCAGACTACATTGGTGCAATTCACATGTCACTGAGTATCTGTCAAATTTTTTTTCGAGCTAGTAACAAGTGGAGTACTGAATAACTTAAGTTGCATTGCTTCTAATGGTGGTAGATAGCAGAAGAGGAAAAACGTAACTGTTCAAGGAGGTTTCCTGTTTGATGCATGGTTCCAGTCGGGTTTCTAAGAATGTCATTATGATGATCATCTAGTGACGATTCTCCATATGTTTAACTTAAGGTTCCTAGGATCTTGAAGTAATTACTGGATGAACGCCTATGCCGTGATAAATCTGAATGTAAAGGCCGAGACCACTTAGTCTATCTACATTCTGTCTTTACTGCATCCCTACAACACCCATTCTGGCTCAATTCTGAAACTTCTACGGGAAATTAGCATTTTCCATCTAGTTTTGACGCATAAACGTTGTTAAGCTCTAGACAGGGTGACATCTAAGTCCGGTAGATATTGGAAAAGAGCTGCAAACCGATGAGATCCATTAACCTG